TTGTCGTAAAAAACTAATCGGATTATTTTCCCTTCAATTAATCAGTATTTGTATAAATTTGAGAATAATTTTTAGTCAAATATAAGTTTATAAAAGATTACTGATTTAAATTATTTTGATTTTCATAATGAAAAATACTGAATTTTAACAATAGAAAGGTTTGATAAATAGATATTCAGTATAGTAGGATATGATATTTATGCTTGTTAAACTATAATATTGTATTCATCTGTAATCATTAAGGATCATTGAAAATAATAGTCTAAATTGACTATAATGATATATAAGGTTGTATCTTCTACACATAAACTTTAATTGCATCTAGAAATTATTAAATTTCCGATTGAAAATAACACTTATAAAACATAATGTTTAATGTAACCTTTGAATGCATATTAACATTAATTTGTCCATTTTTACTCTAATTCAACGTTCTTTATATATTTAAAATTTATTCTAAGTAATTTATTTTAAAATAAAATGAAAAAACATGTACTTAATCTAAGAAATTGTGTTTTTTTTAAGAATAATGTTTTTAAACTGTAATTATCAACTGTAATTATTTAAACTGTAATATAAATTTTAATACAATTTAAATTAATATTTCATACAGCTTGCTATTATTAGTGGTGCAATAGTTTAATATTCTATTATTCTTATTTTAGCTTTAATGTTTAATTAAGACATAATAATTACAACTATCAGTAATTATTAAAGAGTCAGCATAATTTGAAATTTACTTAAAATAAACTTGAATATTTTTAAATTTAATTTAGATATTTAAAATATATCAATTATTATTAAGCAGCAAATCTTTGGGATATAAATAAAATTGAATGGCATTTTTAAATCCATAAGTAATAAGTAATATGTACGTAAATGTATATGTAAGACAGTTTCTAATTTGGTTAAGCAGATAATATTTAAAAAAACTTAATTATAGTCTTAGTTTTCGCCACAAAATGCAAATATTAATTATATATACAAAATGACAGTAATAAATCACAGTAATAATTGTTGAAGAATAGAAGAATATTTTTCTTTAAAAAATTTTCTACAGCTTGGAAAAAACTGAAATGTAGGTCTAATTGCAATCAAGCCTTAATTTTGGTAAATAGTATATATATATATATATATATATATATAAATACCAAGTATACATCACTCAAACTATCTTGGCGCATCAGTATTACATTCTGATAAAAGAGGATAATGAAGAGGTTAGTTATGATATTATAATGGCTTTATCCTCGTAAAGAATGTAAACTGTTATTCTAACGTTGTTACGAATTGGCTGCTTAGATGACGCCAGTGAGGGTTTACTCTAGGCTCACGTTGCGGGCTTCGTCTTCCTTTAACTATTTTTCTTTTTTCTTTTCGCTTTAAAAACCATCATGCTGCTACTGAAAGCTTGTGAGAATGGATTTTTAAAGAGCTTCGATAGTATAGAGAAGCTATAAATATATATTCATATTTAAAGAATCGTATTTTTTATGAAATTGATACTGAATATTAAATATTTCCTATATATTCTGAAATATTTTTTCATATTTTCATTCTGAATTAAATATTAAGAAATGTTTAAAATATATTATAGATTTAATAAACATAATTAAATACTGCAAAATAAATGAAATTAGAAATGCAATCGTATTAAGATCATATTAATTTTAGTTTATTTATTTTTCTTTCAAAAGTGTAATATGATTTATTAATTTTTTTTTACTGCATAGAAATGCATATTAATGATAAAGATTAGATTTTAGAGAAAATAGAAATAAATTGATAACGCATACGTGATAAATTCTCTCTTTCAAATTAATATTGATTTATAAGAAGTTTTAATAAACAATTTCAGTAGTACATGTTTAAGTTTTCGAAATATAAATACCAAATTTAAAAACATGTCATCCACTTTTTAATAATAAAAATCTTTTCGTTTTAATTATAATTTATAATTAACTTAAAATGTACGCATTAATAAAATGGAAATTTATAATTGTTTTTTTGTTTTTAAACCGTATAATTTACATTGCATTTTAATAATGTATATTTAATTTTTTTTTAATTTTGTTTAGCATTAATATAATATTTATATCATATATATTTATATCATATTTTATCATATTATATCTTATTATATCATATGTATTTATTACAGAAAATATTTATTGTTTATACATAAATAAACTGTTTTCAAAATGTAAAGATTTAATTCTTGTATAAGATTGAAAGTTCTTTATTATTATATCTAAATGTCTAAAATAATTTGTTTGAAGATATACGAGAATTGAGGATTTGTAAATTAATGTACATGTTATATATTACTTATTAAAAGTAATCTTGTAAAGTAAAAGTCATAATAATATAGATTATAAAGTTATTTAAAAAAGTTATTCAAATATTCTTGGAAATTATAAAGTTTACAAATAAAATTTATGAAACATTAAGAATTTAACTAAAGTATATGTAAAACACTATGTAGATAAATTCTATATTTTTAGAACATAACTAAAAGACAGGTAACTATTTGAAAGGTATAATTATTATTTCAGGACATTTTTTAATGATATTTAGATATTTAATGAATTAGAAATTGATCGTGTTAAAAATAGCCCTATTATGATACAATCGATATGAATATATAGAGACTAGACACGAGAAACGCAGAAATTTGACAAATTATGATATTAAAATAATTAATTTGAGGTAAGCTATTTACTAAATTCTTACAAGCTATATATATAAATAACAAAATATAAAATTAAATTAAATATATTTCATACATTATAAATTTTATTGAGAAAATAGTATATTTCTTGTTCAATCATATAAACTATATGATCAATACAAAATTTGCATAAATATTTATTAATAAATTAATTATTATTAACATTGTTTAAAATCTATTTTAAATCATGTAATAAATCATAATAAGTCATAAATCATAATCTGATGCTTATTTAATATACTATAATGTAGAAAGTATCATACAATTTATAATTAATTTAAATTTAATATATTATTTATTACAATTTTCGTTGGATATTATTGTATTTTGCTAAGAAAAAATAAAGGAAACATAAAAGTCAAATAAAAATAAAAATAATTATTTATAAAATTAATAGAATCAATTATTGATAGACCAATCTTAAATACATTCGAAATAATTTGATCGATTATTTCTACTAATTTGGTATATGATTTGATAAATGAATATAAATAAAATTTTTTGGTAAAAAATATTACTGCCTATAAGTTGTTAAAGCCAATAAATTATAAAATAAAAACAGTAAAAATAAAGTAAATATATTTAATATTTCATTGAGATATTTTAATATTTTTTAAAACTATATAAATTTAGTAATACTTCCCATAATATGGATTATTTTAGAGTTAACTTACCATAAATTTTTAACATTTAAAAAATTTTCTTACTTATTTCACTTATTAAAAACTCTTCTATCGGTTTAACCAAATGGAATGATTACGAATAGTATAAATAATTCGATAATATATTATAAAAACAAAAATTACATTCAGCGAAGATATCCTGTACTTGTATATATTATTTGCTATATCATTAATTTCTAACGTAAAAAAATTATTTTTAAATAAAACATTGTACATTAAGAATTTACAATATTTAAATTGATGTATTAAAAAAAAATTTTTATTGGAAAGAACCTCATTTAATAGCATTTTTATTATTGATCAAAATGGAAAAATAATTGTAGATCAAGAATTTTTAGAAAAATTCTTCTGCATGTAATACAAATATGACCTTATGTTTGTTACTTGTGGTAATCTTGTAGTAATTCATCAGTGTGAGAATATTATTTGAATTTTTATCTTAATTGATTGTATATTTGCATTTTAAAATAAATTAATTATCACTAAGTTTTGTATACTAATTAAAAAATGTATTAAAAAACAAAAACCAAAAATTAGCATAAATATATTAAATAAGTCTAATGTAGGTCTATCATTCTTCAAACGTAAGTACGTGAATTATTATATAAGTGATTATAGTATCTCTATAGTCAAATCATCAATTTGATATTTTAGATGAAAAATAACGATTGCCTATTGTTTTGAAAAAGATCAAGCAAACACATGTTCAATGACAATTATTTAAAATTTATTTAATTTAACTTTTAATATTTTATGAATAACTACAATTTAAGTACAGAAAAATGTTAAAGTAGAAATTTTTAGTAACTATTTACATCGCCCAAATTAAATTTTTTATTATTTTAAAATGGATAAAATTATTAATGAAATATATGCAACTTTAAATAATTTATTAATTAAATGATTTGTTGTTTGTGTAATATTTGTTGCAAATATTTAAAATTATTTAAAGTATTTATTTAAATAATTATATAAATTATTTATAAATTTAAATAATATAATTATTATATAATAATAATATACAATATAATAATATATAATAATAATATATAATAATAATATAATAATATATACAATATTATTATAATTATATATAATATTATTATATTATAATAATATATAATAATATACAATATAAAATTATTTAAAGTATATACTGTCATAATGTTAATTTATTGTTAATTCCATACATTGTCTTAAAAGTTTAAAATCCAAAATAATCAAGACTCATTTGCAGCTTTAAATTTCAAATATAATAATGCCTTTTTCTATTATTTTCTAATATAAAACAGATTTCATTTATGTATATTATATGCAGACATAATTTATTTTTTCTCAATTTATAAAAAAAAATTAAAAATATTAAAAATATGTTTTGAAATAAGAAAAATAAAAATTTTATTCATTACATAAAAAAATTTTTATTTCCACAATTTATAGGTATAAAAAAGTGAATATTATATTGTCATATATTGGCAAATAAATATTTTTATTAGTATTCGTATTTTTTCAGTCTTACTTAAAGACTAATTTATTTTATTTAAAAGGTATCATATATCACGTTCATAATTGTTCTCGTTTCTTAGTGTAAAGCTTGAGCTGGCGAGTATAAAGAAAAAGAAACGCAACAGGTACACGCCTGAAAAAATTTGACGATAGTGTGAAGCAAGTATGTCGTACACAAATCGCTTCCCGTCGACGAAAAATACACGTTACCGCAGTAGTTGGGGTCCTTCATCGGTCTCTGTTTTTCATAGAGCAGATGTGCCCAGGTTATCAGCCGAAGAAGAGGAATACGCTGAATTCTATCACGAGCGACTTCATTCAGCGCAGAGTAAACAACTCATTCCTCTACAAGAGGACCTGGCCGAGTGGATCAATAAAACTTTAAGTAAGTTTGTTTTAACATTAGATTATCTATGCTAAAATATTATCATCAAAAATTATATTTCGTTAATTTAAATTAATTTAAAAATTTTTAAATATAGATTTTCTTTTACTTAATTTCATATCGATGTTGCATTTTTTAAATATCACGTATATTATAAAGAATTTATCTTCTTTACTTTTTATAATCGTATTGATCAGGTTGGGATAAAATAAAATAATATTTCTTAATATTTTTTTAGAATTTTGTTTACTTTGGGTATTTTTACAACTGGCATATTTTTCAGTTTTAGTGATCCTAGAATGGACCACTCTCGACTGTTTATTTAGAGATAAACAATCTTTGCTCTTCTCTCTTTGTTAGTTCTCTTTAACAGCATGATGAAACTATTTTTATTTGTAAAAGCTGATGATATTTCCTATCTATTAAACCAAACGTTAAAATTCGTGAGCATTATAACAAACGCATATATTGTACTAGAATGCTGTAAGTAATGCACTGTTCATAACGTTCCTCATATATATTTATAAAGATAATATAGCGAATAAGGGTTTATTATCTTATATAATTCAGTTTAAATGAAAGAAAAATCTTTCTTGGGAAGTATGTGTACTTTCTTAATTATTGTTTCATAATTAAGAATCTCGCCTTATTTTCAATTTTTATCAAACCATCCAATATCAATATTTATCCAATGTTGATATTTATTACACTAGCTGTATTCTATAATCGTACTGGAAGATATTATGTTAACATGCCTTGAATATTTTCATTGAATTGTTATTGTTCTTAGCCTAGTGCATATGGCTATGTATGCTTACAACTACGTACATTGGTTATTGTACATAGATATTGTCGGAACTTAAATCTAAATTGCACTTCATATAAATATTTATTGTTACTTATATGCTTTATTTTTCTTTATCTTTTTTATTTATTGTTGTGCGAGTATAGATAGGATCAACCTATTTTAATAGAATTTTATCTTTTAAATTTTATTCAAAAAATACAAATATATTTTCGGTTATTTCTTTACTTTATTAATTTTGAATTATAAATTTATTTATTATTCCATCCTCTCTGACTACAAAAGTTCTGACTATCAAATCAATAAATTGATAAAAAAGTAATTATTGACTGCGCAGTCATACAGAAAAATAACTTTATAAACAAGGATTTATTATAATCTTAATTTCATATAACGATTTTTTAAAATTTTACCGATATAATGTTATTAATGATTTATTTTTTACTATATTTATTTCATTGTATTATATTAATTCATTATTATAATTCCTACATCTATTATATTCATTATTGAATATAATATAACATGAATATATATAACATATATTATATTATGAAAAAGTAGACACTGAAGCAATTTTTTCAATAAATTATTAAATTCAATGATTATTCATTAAAATGATTATTCGTTTATAAAAGTTTCTGTTGGCTTTTTGCAAATGAATTAATATAGGACTATATAATTCAAAATTAATTTAATTTTTATTATATTAATTATATTATATGTAATTTTATTACTTCGTTTTCGTAATGTTCTTAAAAACGAATGTTTTTAATTTATGTTACATAAGAATGCTATAGTTCTAAATTAATAACATATATGTGTTATAATATATAATGAATGCATTATCAGTAAAAAATTGTTACTATATTTTTATAAATTATAATTTAATCTTACATGTACTGTTTAATTTATAATATATAATAAATAGTACTTATGATGTCTGAAGCAGATGACGGTTGAATCCCTCCATGTCAATTTTACTTTTATTTTTAAAATAATTGTATAAGTTAGTTACTTTAGTATTAATAGTTACGTTATTATTATTATCATCATATTAACTCATCGTATTTAATACTTTAGTTAAGGTTTATTTTTATATATTTGTGTTAGTTTAGTAAATTATAAAATAATGTGAAGTAGACAAGTTGTTCTAATTTTTAAAAATTAATCTTCTCATATTAGACACAAATTATATTTTGTTAACAAATTTAAATTAACACATATATTGCAACTATACCCATAACGATTATCTTTCTTCTACGGACATATATGTAAAAGTATAATGTATTTGAATAAATACTTTTAATATTTTTCATAGACATTAATAATTAAAATTAATTTTTTTCTAAAGTATAAATATAAATTCAAATTATAAATTAAATAAATTATAAATAAATTTCAATTATAAAGTCAAAATATATTTTGAATTAGTAATCGTAGGTCTTCAATTATTATGAAAATTTACCTGTTTGATAAAATAATATAGTCATTTTTATTTTACGCAAAAGAAATGAAGTAAAAAATTATTCAAAATCAAATTATTTACTTATAGTCTGTTGCGGATAAAATGTAATTTATATCATTTCAAGTTTATTATATTCTTTTGTATAAACAACATACATTTAAAATATTATAATTTTACAATTAGGAAAATATACTTTAAAATGAAATATGTGATAAAAGCCAAATTAAATATTCGAAATGTATTAACAGTAGTTTGTTTGAAATATTTGATTTATTGTCAAAACAACACCTGTATATACATAAGAATATTATTATAAAAAACTATTCATTTATTAGCGATATCAACAATTACACTGAACTAAATATACTAAATATACTAAACTAAATATACTAATTATACTTAAATAGTAGATATTGATATTATATGATAGTAAATATTTTAAAAATTAGTGCAGTACAAAAGAAAAAACACAGAACGAAAATAACAGTTTGATTTCCTTCATTCGTCCATACAGTTAAGTATATAAGACACTAAACGTGATATTGTGCTATGATTAATTAAATACAGTAATATTATTTGAAAACAAAACAGAATTTGTAATTGAGCTAGGTAACTAAGTATAATTTAGAATATTTTGTGATAATTCACGTTTATGTTAACGAACTGATGGTTCGTGTTTATATAAATTAAATAAATTTTCATAAGATATTTATATACGATATCCTGTTTTTTAAAAATTACAAAAGAGGAACATCTCCTCTCTCTCTCTCTCTCTCTATATATATATATATGTATATATATATATATATATGCATATATCCAGCTATAGATCCATTACCTTTCTTTTATAGATTCCACAAATTTCCAGTTTATTAAACTGTTTTTTCATTTTGATTTTTTTTCTATCATTATAGCTTAATATAATTGTTATAATTTTTATAGAGTATTTATTTTATTATAATTTTTTATTCGAAACTAATAACTAATTTTTAAATAATAACTTCATTGTACGTTTTTTAGACTTTTTATAAACTTAATTCTTAATTTTCTTTTTTTACGTAGCTAGAATTTTTACGCCGATATTTATTAGATTATACAAATTAAAAATCTGATCATTTGACTAAATTAAGATATGATAAATATCTTTTTAAAAATATCGAAAAGAATTTATTAATTTAATGAGTATTGCAATTTAATCATTAACAGTTATATTTTTATATAAGAAATTAGTCAATTTACAATAATGACTTAATTAATTATCTTATATAAATATAATACTTATATAACGATCATGCGGTTGATTATGAGTTTGAAAATACAATATATATTAATTTTGCCACCATATAACTTTAAAAATGTTACTCAGAATAAATTTAAAACGAAAAAATTATTTTATAATATCTACAAGCACTACTTTATAATAGAAAAACGCGTATTCATTTCATATTCTCAAAAATAAATATTGGTTATCTTTGATACTTTTTGTTATACCGTCGAAATTCATTATTACCGGTGATGATTTCAATCATAGTACTTTTTTTTTAATGAAAGTTTTGGGATAAAAAAAATTCAACATTAAATTATCTATACATAGGTATATGAAATAATTTATATCTTATTCATCTATTATTGAAAGATTTGTCTTTATAATTATACTTTATCGTAATTATATATATATATATATATATATATATATATATATATATATATCGTTTTAAATAAAAAAATTATTTTTAATATCTAAATAAGTAATTTAATATTATATCATTTTTAAATAAAAATGAGAATGTATAATCGATAATAAAAAAAGTTTTCTCTTTTATTACATGTAAAATGTAATGTGTTTTTTATTATACCTAACATTCACTGTTTTAAAGGTTTCGGATAAAAAATATATTGAAAGATTGACAGCTACGTAGATTCTCTATATATTGAATATATAAAAAGTATATAGATGTAAAGCACAGTCTCAATTGATAGAATCGATTCTTGCGTCAGTTTCTAAAAGTAATGTTTTCAATGCTGGTTTCATCATTTTAATTTTTTTTTTAATTTAAAGTTTAATAGTAATATAAACCATAAGTGTTTAGATTAATTTTACATTAAGTAATGTTTGTTACTAACTTTGTTACTAACAAAATGATTTTTGATTACGAAGAATCATAAATATTATGAAAAGATGAATGAAGTAGAGAAAATCATTCGTCTAAAATGATTAGTAATAGATAAAATGACTAATATAATTAGCATTCCTCATATTTATTTACATTCGTAGTTGATAGTACACAAAATTAGTTGTACGTTTTTATAATTATTTCAAATTTACATTGAATAAAAAAATATATTGGGAAACCTATTGGAGAATTGAAATTCTATTTATCTATTCTATATATAGTAAGTGTTATAAGTTCAATTAATTTTCTGTAATTGAGTAATCAACTTAAATATCTATAAAAGAGTTAGTTTAATGCAAATAAAATTAGCACACATGTTAATATATAATTATTTATAAATCATTGATAATTATATATAAATATCAATCATAAAACATAATATATAATTCTTAATCTTGAGTTAACCATACATATATATCTTTAATTATCTGTAATGACTTATATTTATATAATATACTTTAATTACATGTATGCATGTAAGTATGTATATATATATATATACATAGATAGACGTGAATAGAGTTATATATCTATGTTTTTATAGTTTTGCAAA